GCTGCTGCTGCTGTTGTTTCCCGTGAGCAGAACACAAGGAAACACCTTCAGGGGCCCTACACAAGGGTGCTGCAGGACGGGGACACCTGGGTGACCGTGTGGCTGTGTGAGACGTCTTCCCCTTGCTGCATTAGTAATGAAATACACCACGTCTGGGGAAGTTAACCCGTGTTCCCATTCTTGGTCTGGAACAGCGGCACCAAACCTCAGCCAAGGCTGTACAATCTGAGTTGGCCCAGGCTGACGACCAAGATGCCTGGCTCCGCCGGGTCACCGGGGCCTGGAATGAGCCGTCTCCCTGTCTCCCCCGGCCCCGCCGCCCAACAGTGGGTGGTGCTCTCACAGCAGCTTGCCCTGCCAACCCGAGGTGCCGGTGAGCCCCCCAGAGTCAGAAGTCTGCTGTGGCTGGTGAACAATGGGTTAAATTATTTAGACTTTGACGCCACTTGAAGGCAGGTGTGGGGGGGGCAGGTTCATTACAGTCAAAGTGGGACACTGCCTGGGTGCCAGAGTGGGAGCCACACAGGACAGTCCGTTAGGAGCCAGTAAAGGCTTCTAATTTTGTTGTTGTTGTTGCTTTTTAAGTTAAAAAGGAGAACAAATAGGTCTCCGGTTAAAAAAGCAGTCTCCACGCTCTTCGGCGCCACATTTAGATGCTGGCTGTTTCGGGAACATGCTGACGAATCCCGGTGCGGTGCTCTCCCCCAGGAGACTACCAACGTCCCTTTGCGTAGCTGTCTACCTTGACGTTGTTCTTCTTCTTTAAAAAAGGTTTTGCTTATGTATTTATTTTAGAGAGAGGGGAAGGGCGGGAGAAAGGGAGGGAAACATCAATGTGTGGTTGTCTCTCTTGCGCCCCTCCTGAGGGCCTGGCCCGCAACCCAGGCATGTGCCCTGACTGGGAATCGAACCTGCGATCCTTTGGTTCATAGGCTGGCTGCTCAATCTGCTGAGCCACACCGGGCAGGGTAACCTTGATGTTGCTCTTCTCCTGGAAGGAATTGTCTGGCCCAAGTAGGGGGCTGGCAGCTCCTCAGAAGTCGCAGTTTCTCTAAAAGTACTGACACTGTTCTCAATGCACGAAAAGAAACCTAGCCCCACAAACAGGACATCACGGATTCATAAAGCCGGTGGTGTGTTATGATCCCCCCCCACCCCGGCAGCGAGGCTCCCCATTGGTTGAGAGAGCCCACGTCATCTCACAAGGAGATGATGGCCACCGGGGGGGGGACTGGCCGAGCTCAAGTCCTTGGAGGCTCTGCCGGAGCTATGACTCTCCTTACTCTAACCCGAGGTGAGCTGGGCAATTAAGGACGATCTGTCCCCGTTACAGATTCTTACTGCTGCTTACAAGATGCACCGAAGAGCTGCAGATCTAATGGCATGCACTTCAGCTCTCAGAGGCTAAGGAACCAGAACCAGAACCACCGATGTCCAAACCACCGAGAGAACTCGGTGCAGCAGGAAAGATCTTTGCTAGGGACACTGGGCTACTAAGGACACGAGGCATGGGTAGCTTTTGTAGCGGTGGCACTGTCTGGAAACGTCCACTGCTCCTTTATTTCCTCCACCGAGACTCTAAGAGCCCGGGATGGGAAGTTCCTGGACAGCAGTGCAGGAACAACTGGGCTGCCTGGCTGCATGCCACGAGGTCAGGATTTCCCAACGTCTCGGGAAGACTTAGACATTTCAAGAGCTAGTTCCAACTGGATATAACAAACAGGGAGCTTTTTTTTGTTTGTTTTTTTTTAGTGCTTCAAAGCTTTGGGAGTCAAGGAAGTATGTTTCTCCCAGCACTCAGGAAAAACATCTAACATAGATCGAAGTGTCGAAGTAGAAGGTGTGGGCGCCCTTCCTCCCCCCTGCCCGTGCGCCTGAGAAGGACAGACTCTTTTTCCGATTTCCCAAAGCCATGACCTCAGACTGCAAGTTTCGCCCTTAGAATGCAGCATGAATACTTCTCACCACCCGGGCGCCGTGTGGTGCTGGTGACGTGGAACACACAAACCACACGGAGACGACCCGACGCCGGCTGCCGGGCTGGCCCACAGTTACTCCCCAGATGAGTCCACGCACCGACCTTACAGTTCCGTCACCCCGCTGGCCCCGGGGACTCGTCCTACAGACACAGACACAGAGACTTACGTCCGCAAAACTGCGAACTTTTGTAGCAGCTCTTGTTCAGACAGCCCCGGACTGGAAACGACTCAGAAAGCCCTGCAGGGGGGGAGGGGTCCAACAGACTGTGGTTCCTCCGCACAGCAGACTCCGCACTCAGGGGGAGCAGACAGCCCGGGCAGACCTCAGGGGTGCTCTGCGCCGTGAACAGCCGCCGATCTTCGAAAACGACACTTAGTATGCGGACTGCAGGGCAGACGCACAAACCAGCACCGGTGAACTTGGACATGTGCGGCATTTCACACACACTTGCATGCACCCATCCTCTTCGTCCCTCGGCTGGGCCGCTGTCACAGAGTACCATAGACTGGGTGGCTTATTTAAAAAAACACCCAAAGTGTCTTTCTTCACACTTCTGTAGGCTGGAAGTCCAAGGTCAAAGCGTTGGCAGATGTCGTGTCGGGTTAGGGCCCACTTTCTCGCTGCCCTCCCTGGGGGCAGGGCGCTTTCTGGGGTCTCCTCGTAAGAGTGCTGACCCCCTTCATGAGGGCCGCCTACTCACCTCCCAAGGTCCCACCTTTGTGGGCAAAGGTGGGCAAAACTCGGGACAGGAGACGCTCGGAGCCCAGGCCACGCTCCAGACTGTCATACGAGTGGTGACTCAGCAGTGTTCGGGAGGAGCTGGACGGCCCCCGCGTGGGACAGGCCTCACGCAGCGGGCGTGGAATGTGGGTCTGTGTCCTCCCTCTTCCAGGGAAGTGTGCTGGGCTGGGCCCTCTGTGGAGACACAGGTGGGCGGGTCTACGTCCCGCGGAAAGGACACCTTCCCCTGTGTCTCCCGCTCTCCGGACCACCCGTGGGACGCTGACCAGCCTGTCCCCGGGGAGAGAGCAGGCCGCGTGGTTCCCAGGCAGGTGGGGGCGGAGCTCCGTGCTTCAGGTGTCGCCTGGGAACGCCAGCGGCCCCTGCGCCCAGGACTGTGGCATTTGGACGTGGAGCCTCAGCTCCGCGGGGAGCGGGGGCGGGCGGGGGCGCTGGGCCCAGCCTACTCTTTGTCTGGGCAACCGTGGCCACGTGGACAACTGTGCTGACCGTGTCACCACACGAGTCATGGCATCCCTGTCCTTGCAAAGCAAGGACCCTGTCGATATTGAGCTGCTCAAGCCAGACACAAAACTGAGGAGGAAGCAGCCAGCGGCCTGGCCACCTCCGCCCCTGTCGGGACTTGTCTCTCACGGGTGTGCAGGGACGGTGCTCGGGTGGGCGAAGTGCTCCGCGGAGACCCGACCTCACGAGCAGCGCAGGGTGTGGATGAACCGAGAACGGACCCTCGCTGTCACCACCCCCCGTGGAGGCTCCAGAAGGCTGACTGTGCGCGGGAACCACACTGGGCCTGGCGCGTGAGGAGGTGCTCAGAGTGTGTGGGGTGTGGCCAGGTCAGCTGCTAGCTACCTGATGCTGTGGACAGTGTGACGCAAGTGTCTGCGGCAGCATTTGGAGCTCACATCCTTATTAGGCTGGATGACATTTCAGGTGTCTCGTTACTCTAAACAGGCCATCTCTAACACATCAGAGTACAGAACAATATTCGATCAATGAGGGATCGTTCCAGCCCAAAGCAATGCCTGAATTAAGTATTCCACACTGGCTACTCCTATTTTTTTGTGCCTGTCCTCTCTCTCTCTCTCTCTCTCTCTCTTTTTTATCCTCACCTGAGGACAGGCTTATCAATTTTAGAGCAAGGGTGGGGGCGGGGGGGAGAAACACTGATCAATGGCCTCTCAGACGCACCCCAGCCTGGGTCCGAACCTGCAACCTAGACGCGGGCCCTGGCTGGGAAAGCTCCAGAGACCTCACTGAACACTTCAAGCAATCCAAGCGTTTGCGTGGGTTCCAGGCTGCAGAGAAGTCAAAATGCAACTGTTCTCGAAATACATACAGTGAATCAGGTGCTTGGAAAAGGCAGTTTGAGAGAGGGCCAGCGACTGAAAAACACAGGCCACAGCACCTTCTATTTGTCATTGAACAAACGGATGAGACACGAAATACACCCGACTTCTCCAATCTTACCGCCTTTGAAAAGTCACTGACCACCGCCCTGAGCGGGGAAGCCACGAGCTGTGCACCTCTGGACCCGATGGCTGCAACAGAAAACGTGCCGAGTCTGTGGATCTGCCTCCTGAGCCCGGAGCCTGCACGGCCGTCTCCCGCGGGACACAGGGAGGTGGCCCCTGGCCCGGAGAACACACCCCACGGGACAGCCCCCTCCTGGCCGCAGAGCTCGGACGAGGTCAGGCGTGGGAACCAGGGCGCAGCTCCGCAAGCCCCGCGTCACCTGCCGTCCAGAACTACACAGCGCTACGAAGTCACAGGCCCGAAGTAAACGCTCGTGATTTACTAATTCGGAACCACCCAGAGGGATTCGCAGAGCCCGGTGGCCACAGAGGCGTGATCCGATTTCCTCTTAGGGACCCGGCTGTGCGCCTGGGCTCAGCCAAAAACATCAGCATTTCCGTCAGCAAACAGTGACAGAGGCGCAGAAGACCCCAGAGGCAAGGACGGTGGCTGAGCGGAGCGTGGTTTTCCGGCGCCCCGGTTTCTCCAAGGCGCGCTCAGAGCAGCCGCCTGATGACGGCACTCGGGGCCCCCTCCACCCAACACGGTCACCCCACGAAGGCCAAACACGTCCACCGGACACTCGGGAGTAAATTTCATTTTTATTCGGAGTTCGCACTTATTGTAACAAGAAGGGTTCTCACGTGTCTGTCATTTAAATAAACAGTGGTCACTCGCCGGGCCACATGAGCGCAGTTAGGTTCCTTAAAAACATCTGATGCATTCTTACCCTCGGCACGAAAACAACTTCTTTAAAAAAATAAAACTGTGATTTAAAAGGCCTTTATTTCATAGGGAAGGAGAATAAAAGATAGATGATAGCCGGTGTTTAACCACGTTTGGGTTTTTTTAGTTGGTCACCTGCCCTTTCTATTCTGCAAACGCAAAAAAGAAATCGTCAGTGATTAAAAAAAACACAAAGCTCAGGAATCCCGGCGCTCTGGACGATTCCGTGGACACCTGGACCCCTCACGGTTGGAGAATGGAGACAATATCTTAGAAAATCTATCACCCCTCACCAAAATCCCTTTGATGAAACTATTATGTAAAAAGCAGTTAATTATATACATAAATAACATAAAAATAATTATCATAAATTAAAAAGTCAAACGATCTCCCACAACTAGTTCATCCGAGGTGAGAGCCGTGAGTGGAGGAGGAGCCGTGTGAGTGAGTGACGGGAACTCGGACGCCCCCTTGGGGCCGCCTGGGGCAGGGCTGCCCTCGCTTCACGAAGGCGTGTATTGCACTAAACGAATCCTAGCCCCGCCCTCGAAATCGTCCCTGTTGGAACTAAGTGAAGTGCTGAGAACGGTCTCTGGCATCACGAATCGTCCTCGGCCTCGCTGGCAACGTGAGGCGACTCCGGCCTCCGTCACCCACTACGGACTCGTACTCACTCAGTGTTCCTGCAAGACGGACTCCCAGGTCACACGGGGTCTGGGACAGAGGGCGATCAAGGACAAAATAAGGCAAATCTATCATTTCATTCTGGACAGCGTTAAAAAAATCGTCAGGGGAGTAAAAAAAAAAAATCACACTTCTTTCTGTGTCCCTGGCTGCGCGGCAGGAGGCCAGCTGCTGTGTTTCAGCCGCACACATGCACACACACACACACACACGCACACACACACGCACACACAGCAGCGGCGTCCCCAGGGGAGCAGGCTGGCTGTCCCTCGGCACGCTCATCGGGGGCATCGACCCTCCTCCTGGTGGCCGAGCCTCTGCTGGTGTCACTGCCCGGCTGTATGGGAGCGCGGCACCACGGCCGTTCAGGGCAGCGAGGCCTTCCCAGCTTATTCCACAGTCACAGACCACTGGTCTGCAGCCACACCGACCTTTGGGGTTCAAGTTGAAACAGAAAGAAACGTGAATTTCCTCCCTGCTCCTCAGTTCAGAGGACTTTGGCAGAGCCTCGGTCATGACGCACACACGCGGCGGTGGGGCGTCCACACGGAAGGCACCACCGAGCAGCGGCAGCACGGCGCCGCCTCGCTGCACCCAAGGGTGGGCCCCCTGGCTCCGGGGCATCGCGTGGGACGGACACAGACTGACAGTCCTACAGTGCAAATGACTTCAGCACGTTCAAACGTAGAAACGACAGGGCCACCAGAGTCTCGAATGCACTAACATGTGCTTGAAATAAAGTTTCTTAAGTGAAGAAACGGTCCTGAAAATCAATGCACGAATTCCATTCCTAAGACACCTTCACGCCCGAGTCAGCGGCCCCCTGTCTCTGTGCCCCTTGCCTGGGACGAGCCGCAGGCCGGCAGAGGGCCGCGGGCTCCGCAGCCGTCTGCTGGTTCCCGCCCGGAGCCGTGAGAGGAGCCCACTCGGCTCAGCTTCCGAAGCAGGGGCGCAGTGTGACTTGAACTTCTACCGGCTCCCTTGCAACAGCCATCCCGAGGAGGGAGCCGCCTGTGGCCGCAGCTGGCGTGCGACCTGTGAAGACCGTCCGAGTTCTGACCTGGTAACTGAGCTCCTGACAGCACAATGCTCGCCTCCGATGCTCCTGCTTCCCCCGTGTCTGCCAGACCCAGTGCTGCCGGGGAGTGCGGCGGGCAGGGCAGGGCGCAGCCCCGGCTGACGAGCGGCCTGGCTGACCCAGCACCTGCAGCCTGCCGGCACCCACGACCGGCCCGCCGAGTCAGGCTGGCTGACCGTAACAGCTGCTGGGGGATCTGGAGATAGTTCTGCAAGAACTGAGTCCACCTCACTTACATTGCAACGTATGATTTTTTTTCTCTTTGTTTGGTATCCAGCAAACACACCTCCACCCGGAGCCAGGGGAGCTGTCTGGGGTTCCCTCGGCGAGTCCTCCGCCAGGCGCCTCAGTAGCTGTACATCTGCTGCTGCTGCTCGGCCTGCACCTGGGGCTGCGCCGCCTGCGCGGGGGCGGCCTGCGGCGGTGGGGCCGGCAGCACGTCGGTCTGCGGCACCGCCCGCCACGTGAGCGGGTGCTGGTCGCCGAGCTGGCTGCCCAGGGGCGTGATGGAGTTGACCAGCGTGGTCAGGTTGATGAAGTGGGCCACCGACTGCGGGTTCGACGGCTCCGGCTGCGGGTGCAGCTGCAGGTCGTTCTGGCGGTTGTGCAACATGGCGGAGCCGCTGACCGTGTCAAAGGTCACGGTCAGGATCGAGTTGTCCAGCTGCAGCTGACGTTCCGGGGCGGCCAGGTGTCCAACAGCCACCGGCTGGAGGTTGGTAAACTGGGTCCCGGCCGCCGTGGTGATGGGCGTCATGGTGATGTTGGTCAGGCCGACGGAGCTGGACGGAGCGGTCACGTTTGGGTCTCCGAGAGTCACCACCACCTGGAAGAGCCACAGACAACGCGGAAGGGTTACTCAGTCGCTGCGGAACGGAGAGCGGCAGAGGCAGGCGGAGCTGTCGTGCTGGGGCGGCCACACGGCCGGAGGAGGTAGGCGAGGCCCCTCTGGGTGAACGACCGAATTGGGTTAACTCTGTCCTGAAACCGCAGCTCCAGCGAGAACAGAGAAACAAGGTGAGGGCACGATCGCAGAGGCCGCCGGGCAGAAGAGAAGCGAACCGCGTCAGTGGCCGGGAAAGAGCAGAGGACAGCCACAGTGAGAGACAGAGAGCATCATCTTCGCTGTGCACCCGCCCCGCCCCCTCAGGAGCCTTGCCGCTCCGCGAGGAGCCCAGCCAGAAAGCTGAGGGGCGGTGGGGAGCTCTGCAGCGCCAGCAGCCGAGGAGCCTCAGCGAGAGTGGCTTGCTTTCACATGCGAGGGTGAAAGGGCGAGTCAACCCGGATGTCTGGGCAGCGTCAGGCGCACACGGATGCAAGATTTGGGGGCCCTGAGCCTCACCCCCCCCGTCCCCCACCCAACGGCTCTTTCCGTGTGCAGGCCTGCTCGCCCTGACTGGTCAGCAGACGAACGGGGACCACGCCCACCAGGAAGGGACACACTTAGGCCACTGACAGTCTCCCAGGTCCCAGCCAGGAACGTAACACCCGGAAGGTCACGCTGCCAGTCCCCGTGACAGCTGCGGTTTCTCGGTCCCCACTGGGAATGCTTAGGTGGGACACGGGATGTGTGCTGGCGGCACCTGCGGGCACGTCAGACGGGGAAGGGAGCGGCACCCTTGGGGCTCCCATGCCTGCAGCAGCCCTGGCCGCCCCCCGCCCATCCCCCCACAACTGGGCCCTGACCCCAGCACAGGGTGCAGCCACCTGCTGGATGCTCTGCACGGCCGAGTCGGTCTCGTCGCCCACGCCGCCCGTGAGTGCCGGCTCCTGCTCCGGGTACTCGCTGAAGCCCGCGTCCTCGGGCCCCGGGGCCCCCGCCTCCTCCTCTGGCTTCTGCTTCCTCTTGTGGCTCCTCCTGGCGGCCTTCACCGGCTTCCCTTCGGCCAGGCCCTCCTGCTCCAGGCCCAGCTCAGGCTGCAGGAAAACAAGTGTCGGCAACGTGCGGGTCAGCGGGGTCGTGACCCCACGGTGACAGCCGTGGTCCCAGCACGGGCCCCGGACAGGCTCCGGGGTCAGCGGCAAGGCTCTTGGGTCACCGAGCTGCCGCAGGAACCAGAGTGACCACAGCTCGTCTGCTTGCTTGCATTTGCAAAGACGGACGTAAGTTTCAAGAGTTTTTGTTCAAGGGAGCAGATTACCTACAAGTCGTATTTTTAACAGCTACATTTTGTGCTGAAATATAAACAAAAACTTAAAAAACGAAAATTTTAAGCCACCGTTTCAACCCTGACGAGCTCGGCCTGAGGCTGAAAATGTTCCCACATCAGGCGGGCTCTCACCCCCGAATCCATCTCAGATCAAAACATGTCTGACCACGAGAACCAGGCGGTCCCTCCTCTGGGGACAGCAAACAGGGCCCAGCCGTGACGGTGACCCCAGATGGTGCGCACCCCCCACGCTCCTCTGGGAGCTGGAGCACTGTGGCCAGTCTTGTGACCCACACGGGGCTCGCTCAGAGTCACAGAGGCCACTGGACAGTGGTGGCCAGCACGGCACCCCACTCAGGCCGTCCAACCCCCTCCTGGACCTCTGGTGCCCCACCACAGGACTCGGTCTGATGCAGTGGTAGAGAGACCTGGAGGAAGCCAGCCAGGGCACGGCCGTCGCCCGCGTCAGGGCTGCCGTGGCCTCTGGGGCGCCACCAGCCTTGTTGTGTCCACGCAGCCCGAGCCGGCGCCCGAGCACTGGGCTGCAAACACCGTTTCAGGAGAAAGAGGTTTCACGCGATCTCAAAATAGCTCCGAACGAGACACGCTCTCTTTATAGTGAAAAGAAATTTTTATAAGGGTGTTGATTAAAAGTCCCTTTAAAAAAGTAAGTTCATCCAATACGTTTAAAGTGGGTTTTCTTATCAATCTAATCATGCCAAGTTTCTCTGGAAACCATCGGCAATGGTTAACTTTCAGCGTCAGCTCGGCTGGGCGAGGGTGCCGCCGGTCCGGTGAAACTGCAGTCTGGACGCGGCTGTGAAGGTGTTCTGTGGGTGAGATTAACGGTTAAACCGGCGGACACTGCCTAAAGCGGATACCCGCTACATTCTGGGTGGGCCTCGTCCAATCAGGCGAAGGCCGTAAGAGAATAGACTGTGGTCCCTGGAGGAAGAGGGAACTGTCTCCGTCCGCCTTCAGACTTGAGTCGTGACATCAACCCTTCCCTGGGTGTCCAGTCTGTCCTCTGGCCTGCACGTTTCAAACTCACCAGCCTCCTCATCACAGGAGCTGACTCCTTCAAGTTTTAGAAGGTTACAGAAACTAAAAAGGCTCTCGGAGAGATGAGAAGGCAGGCCAAAAAGACAGAGGGCGAGACAAAGGCGAGACCAGAGGCACGGACCAACGGCCTTCCCAAAGTGCACCTGCGCCTGCCTGAGTCTGGCGGCCCCACCCACGCCGGCACCTGCGTAGCTGGAAGTCCCAGGGGCCTCTGCTCTGTGCTCACCTGCACAATGCCGATGGAGGAGGCGTCGATGGTGGTGGTCTCAGGGAGGTGGTCCAGGTCGTCGATCCTCACGGCCAGGACCTGCGGGAGAGCGTGGGGCAGTGAGCAGGATGACCCCTCATGGGCACCACCCCCCCCGCCTCGTGTTTCCGAGCTGGCTCCGCTTGGGACGGACCTTGGAACCTTGCCTCCAGAATCCCACGCGGGCCCGCGCTCCCCTCACACCACGTGCCCTCACGGCGACCCTCTGCGATGCTCGCGCACGTGGAGGGTGCCCCCCAAACCTGTCTGGGCCTCGCTTCACGCCCACCCACCTGCGCCCGGGCAGGGCGCACTGCATTTCCCGCCCTTTTCTGCTCATACTAATGGGTGATTTCAGTCAGCGAAACTTCAGCGAATCTTGTTTCAAACCAGTGTCCCACAAGGAATCGCCGAAAATGAGATCTCTATGCCTTAAACACTTTCCTCTGTAGTTTGCCCCACGGGTGGGTGCTTTCTCCCCCACCTCCCCACCGGGGGCCACACTGCCCGGCCCTGAGGGTGCGGATGCCTCACTGTGCTCACCCCCTCCCACAGGTCCCTCCCGCTGGTCAGCGGGTCCTGCCCTGATGCTCGTCCCTGCTACCGTGACTAGCTAAGCGAACCAAGTCGTAAGGGAGGCCGTGGAACATGCGAGCAGAGAGAGAACGAGCCCTCCGAAAAGGCACACTGAAGGCGGGCTGCTAAAAACGGGAGACGGGCCGTGGACATGACATGAGACCAGGGAGAGCAGCGGCAGTCTGCCCGGACGGTCCTGCACCCAGAGAGCTCTGCAGGCACCGCCGTCTCGGCTCAAGTAAAGCAAAGGTGGAGAGTCACGGGCTCCCCACTGTGGGCGTGGCTTATGCAAGTAAGAAAGACAGCGGGAAGCACAGCTCTGGGGTGACGGGCGGGCGCCGTCTCCGACAGGGGAGTAAACCCAGGGGAGCAAACCCAGGGGCGGGCATGTTTCGGGTGGACGGGGGTGCCCACTGTGGCCCTGGGGACCCGAGTGAGACTGGGGTGCTGCGAGACCGCGTAAGAGCAGCCAGATGCCGCTGATGTGTTTTCTACCACTGCCGCCACCACGACCAGCGCCACTACCGTGACCGTCACCACCACCACGACTGCCGCCACCACCACATCTACCACCTTCATCATCATCATCATCATCACCACCACCATCACGGTCCTAGTCCCACAGTCGGTCCAGAAGCTGCCGCCACAGAGCAGCAACCACAGAAGCATTCACTGGCTTTGCTTGCGTTAGGACATGAGACCAAAGACGGGAACTGTTTTTGTGTGCGATAGCTTTTAAAACGTTAAGTAACGTTCGCTCAAACCGGAACGATCGCAGGGTGAAGCTGTGCCGCGGCGCCAACTCTGAAAGATCCGGAACACGTGCAAGTCGTTCACGCGCGGCACCTGGGCCCGTGAGTCGGCCTCCAGCGGCCCGGCCCCGAGCCCGCGCGCAGACTCGGAACAGGCCCACCGGCACCGGCACCCGCCGGCCTCACACCACCGCGGAGCACCCTCCCCGGGGCCCCGCCCGCCCCTCCGTCTGCCCTTTGCCGCGTTTTCTGCCAGATGTCGCCTCCTGCGCGTCCCTCACCTGTAATGACCGAGCCGCTCGCCTACCTACTTCCCCGATCCCTCTGCTCCCACCTGAGCTGGCACCTCCGGGGGGCGGGGCTCGCCCTGGTTGGCTGGCCCCGCGGCGCCCCCACCAGTGGGCGTTCACTATGCGTCCCTCCGACCGGCACAGAGTGAGGGGCAGCGGGACGGCCCGAAGGGGAGCCCAGGGAGGACAGGCTGCGGCCTGAGACCCCAGGGGCCGAGGACGGACAGAGATGACGATGAAGACAGAAGAGCCGCCGCCGCGGTGGCGCTTTCCTTCCCTTTCCTCGTCCGCCCATCGCCCCCTTCTGGGAGCCAGGTCTGCCCAGCGCAGGTGTGCCGAGGAGTGGGTGACGCCGGCGCACAGGCCCCGTTTGAGACGCGGCCGCGAAAGGCGGCCCTGCCGAGCGGCCGGTTGGGAAGGGATCGTCACCCCTGCAGAAGGACTCGGTGGACAGACACGTCTGCGTGTGCCAGGCCTCCCTCCCCGCCCAGCCAGTCAGCGACCACGGACGCGCACACGCTTTTACCACCCGGGACGACGGAGACCCACGGAGTGACGCAAGGGCTCCAACTGGGCTCCGGGGAGGCCCCTGGGGGAGTCTGCAGCGCCTGCTCCCAGCCCTCGGCCCCGGGGCCGCCGCCGCTGTCGCCGTCGTGAGTGCGGACGCTTCAGGGCCCTGCTTGGGGCTGTTTTCCCGGTGGAAACACTGACGGGGGAGCTCTGGGGAACCCCGGCTCCGCGCACCAGAGGATGCGGGCGCCTCCGAGGACTGGAGGGCTGGTGGTCCCCTGCCCTGCCGGCGCGGGCGCCGAGGAGCTCACTGCACGAATGCCCCCCGCGTGACGGCAGACGTGACTGGCGTCCGTGAGGGGCGAGTACTCCGCACGGAGCCGAGCGTGACCCGTCACCTCGCCAGCGGGAGAAAACCGCCGTGCGCGGCTGTTTCCTGCCTTTCCTGCCCCACCCATCCCGCTCCCGCGGTCCAGGTGAGTGTTGCAGACACACGGGCGATGCACGACGGATGCCGTGCACACTCCGCAGGCAGCACATCCTGCTTTTGCGACAATGAGCGTCCCACGAGCTTGTTTAGAATTGTTTATAGAGTCAGGCGTGTGGCTCAGCCGACACTGATTTAACCCACTCCTCGTGCGTGGCGTGGAGGCGCCCAGAGAGTCATTCCTCACACACCGGGCACCCGTCACGCTGCCCCCCAGAGGACCCCCACGGCAGGGGGCCCACCCGTGCAGCCGCACGGTCACTTCCAACCTAAAACCCTCCTATTGGGTCGATGGGTCGGGGCGGCACCTGCTGCGTCAGCGCCTGCGTCTCCGGGGTGCAGTGAGGGCGGGTGCTTCTGCCTGCGCGTCCCCCACACGTGTGTTCCCTCTCACACACCTGCCTCTCCTGCACACCTGCATTCCGCAGGTGGGTCTCACCGAGTGCTACCATCTCTGCCCGTAAAGGCGGCGGTGCCTGTGAACGGCGGGGACATCCCCCCCCCACCCCGGTTCCCGGTCTGCCCTCTGCGTGTTCTTTTCCCTACATGGGCTCCGAGTGTGGTCGTGTTTATGTATGTAGTCAGGTCTCCTGGTGCTTTTGGTCACGATGTCTTTTGTTGCTTTTATGCGTGGAGAGTCTTTCCCGTCCAGTGACCTGAGAGCTATTTACCTGCACGTCCTGCTAGTTTCATTTCTCAGTTTGCTTCTTTTTAAAGCAGAATGAATTATTTAAGGTCCTGGGCCTTCTTTCAGAATGAGCTCCCAGGCCAGCCAGGTCGTCCTGCCTCTACGGTTTCTCCCTCTGGGCCCGCACAGCCACCCTGCCGTCGGCCCCCGACACCACCTGGACACTCCCTGTTCTGCACGTTTTATTCGTCTCTCCAGAGGGAAGAACGGGGGGCGGGGGAACGGGGCCGGGCTGTGCTTCGTCTCGCAGCAACTCCGGGGGGAATTAATTTACAGCCTCAGCAAGCGCCAGGCGAGGCTCTTCTGCTCACTGGTTCAGTGCCTCCCTCCTACGTGCCGGCCCTGCGATCAGAGGGAGCGTGAGGCCCAGGCCCTGCCCCCAGGGGTTCTGGGTCTGCGAAGGGAGGCAGATCCGCGAGCCGGGTGGCAGGTGGCAGTGTCTCGGGGCAGCAAGGGCGTGCCCCGGGCGGAGGGCAGAGGGGCCAGGCCAGTGTGGGGGCGGGGGCGGGGGCAGGGGCGGGGAGGAGGACGCTCACCTCCGGGTGCTTGCGCCGCATGTGCCGGCTCATGGAGGCCCGGGTGGACACCTTGGTCCCGCACAGCTGGCAGCTCTGCGCCTCCACCTTGTCGTGGGTGAGCTGCACGTGCTTCTGCAGCATGTACTCGGTGACGTACTTCTTGTCACACACGGAGCACGTCCACTGCTTGCCCACTTCACACACACACACACACAGACACACACACGAGGAGGAAGAGACAAGCACAGGCTGTGAGCAAGGTTGCCCCATGGCCTGCAGGGCAGGCGGAGGGGGGGGGGTGCTGCCCCCGCTGCACGTGCTGCCAGGATGGCCCCCCAGGTCAGCCCGAGACGAGTTCGACTGGTGTCCTCCCTCCCTGAGCGCAGAGCCTCGTCACTGCTCCAGTGCCTGAAGATTCCAGCCCAGACGGCTGGGAGTGGTACGGGGCTGATGCTTAGGGGGCAGGGGGCTCCCACTGAGGCGGGATGGCACCAGGCAACAGTCTGACACATCACAGGGTCACACGCCACCCCCCCACGCCCCACCCGCCGGGACTCCCTCGGGCCACACCCGCTCACCTGTGTGGATGAGCTTGTGGGTCTCCATCGTGTTCCTCTCGCTGAAAGTCTTTCCACACAGCTCACACATGAAGTCTTTAATCCCTGCGGGAAAAGGCACACTCACTTTGGGGTGTCTCCCGGGGCTGTAAATAGGCGCGGCAGGTGTCTTGTCCCTGACATTTGGAGAGGCTGCAGGGGCAGGTGGGTTGCCAAGGGTCATAGGCAGGGAACTTCCAGTCGTCAGAAAACTGCGGCTCAGAAAGGCTGCCCTCGGGAGGCGGCAGGTGAATTTCAGCTGGCGCCCACCGGACGGCCAGACACTCTGAGTGAGCAGGACCCGAGGCAGGGAGGAGCTTTACTCTGCACGAGCTCATGACAAGGGGAGGCAGACACCACGGTTGTGGAACTCGGGTGGGTACCGTGAAGGTCCCCATCAGCTCCAACCTGGGTCTCAGAGCTCCCATGGGTCGCTCCGTCTGGGCCGACCCTCCCACTTGCCCCCGGGTGAGCTCATGGAACCAGAGCCAGAACCAGAGCCGAGAGGGTCCCACCAGAAGTGTCTCTCTCTGACAGAGTCCCCGGCCAGGGTGAGCCTCCTCCTGTCCTGACTCCCTCTATGTACACGTTTACCCACGTCTAAGTGTTCTATAAACAAGAGGCGCATATTTGATGTCACGGAGGCTGCCTTTCCTCCTGTTGTATCATGAACTCTATGAAACATCTAACAGCGTCTCATCACTTTTAATGGATGCATTCTTTTTCAGTCATTGCCCTGATGAGAGACACTTAAGATATCCCAGGATCTGAAATCAGCTTGGATACGCCTCTGGACCCGTGTGATCACTTCTGGGGCGAGGGGCCTGCAGAACTGGCAGGTGCCGCCACACCTGGCTGGTGAGTAGGCAGCGGCCGGCTCCAGTGCGCATGCACAGGGACACGAGTTACAGGGCACTGGGGGGACTGGAAGCTTCCCTGACACCAGCCGCCTACCCACGCCTCCTGGAGCTCCGAGCCCGCTGGAACCCGGGTTTAATGGGAGCTAAGGAAAGTGAGAAGCAGCGAGGCGTTCTCGTTGGGGCCATTCCACCACGAGGCGCAGCGGTTGCCGCACACTTGCACTCCTCTGGCCAGGACTCACCTGTGTGCCGCTTGTAGTGCTTGAGCATGTTGACCTTCTGCGCGAACTTGCGGTGGCACTCCTTGCACTCGTACTCCTTGATGCCCTTGTGCAGCTTCATGTGGTGGCGCAGCGCGTGCTTGGTCTTCATGCCTGCCAGACACCAGCGGGTGGGCGCCTGCCGAGGCCCACCGGCACCGCAGACCCCCCACGGCGCTCGTGCCCAGGGCCCCCACCCACAGGGCCAGTCCAGATCGCTCCCACAGTGCCAGTGCCCAGTATCACCACCCATAGTGCCTACACCCAGGGTCCCCACCCACAGTGCCAGTCCAGATTGCCCCCACAGTGCCAGTGCCCAGGATCCCTGTGCAGTGCCTGAGCTCAGGACCCTCCCCCTGACACACACACAGTGTACGTGCCCAGGACCCCCCACAGTGCTGCACACACAGGTCTCAATGACTGCAGAAAGGGTGAAGGGGAAGGACAGAGCCGGGGGCTGCTCTCGGGAAGGCTCGCCCACCAAGGGGGAGACGGGCAGTGGCGCCACTGAAGGTGTTTAGGGTTTACTGTCGGCGTCTGCACAGCCCATCTCAGCAGTGCCCACCCGGCGGTCAGCGCTCAGAACAGCGAGAGCTGTCAGTAAACCTCCCTAGCGTGCGGTTGTGGCTCAGTCGGGTCACTAGGGGAGGGCAGTGCGAGCCTGCCTCCTGGAGTTTCCTGTTGGGACTGGTGTTGTAAGGGTAATGGAGATCGGGAATACAGCCACTGACGTTCTAGCTTTACGGTCTCAGCCTGAACTTTCAACCCACCTTCAGTTCAACTTCACAAAGTCAACCTTTGCTGAAGGCGGTGAAGCAAGCTACCACCTTCCTCAGGCCAGCAGAGAAGGGGTCACCTGGTTCGGGGTGTGAATGAGGGGCCGAGGGTCTCAGCCTGGGGCACGCTCTAGGCGGGCAGTGCCGCGCAGGAAGGGCCCGCGTGAGGGCCCCAGGGCGGCCGGCAGGGGCCCTCTGGAGCAGAGGGGCAGCGGCTCACACGCGTGCCGTCACGTATCCGGTCCCCTGGCCCAAGGCTGACCCGGGAACTGGCCTCTGCAAGGGGGCAGTGGGAGCAGACCGCCGTCACCGCCCTCAGCGACAGTCCTCTGGGAGGACTCCTGCGCCCACAGAGTCCTCGAGGCTTCATCGGGTCAACAGGGCCCTTCCAGGTTGCCTGGGAAACCCTTGGCCACGGTCCAGGGGCATGTGAACTTCACCCAGCTCCTGACTGGGCTCTGAACCCTGGACCCAGATGGACCGCCAGGCCGTGCCCTCCTCAGCCCGTCCCGCACGCACAGAGAGGGGCTCCTAGGCTGCGGGGGGACTGCAGGGGGGCTGCAGGGGGGAGGGGCGAGGACGTGTGTGGGCCTGGCACCGACTGCGGGGCAGCGTCTTTCCGCTTAAAGAGTCACGCGTGCTCACAGGGAAGAAGAAACGACGGGTGACAAGAGGTTAACCCGGCGGATGGCTCTCCAACAGCCTGCCCCTCCAGGGCCACACTCCTGGGTGTATTCTGGCCATGCACCCCGAGACCCGCCGCTGTCTGGCCACTTCTGCTGGCTCCACCATTTGCTGTCGCCTTGACACCAGGCCCGGCCTGGCCCCTGCACTGCTCTCAACAGTACATACCACTCATGGCGTGCACTGTTCATTACAGACGCCGGAGCGCCTGCCACGGCCCAGCACTGCAACAGGTGCCAGAGGCTGAGCAGGGAGCCACGCCAGGTCCCCGCTTCACCGGGGAGGGACAGACAAGCAGGGCAGAGTGTCCCACGAGGGAGAATGAGGAGAAGGACAGAGTGATGAAGATGGCGGGAGGGCAAGCGGCCGGGAGGCTGGGTTGTGCAGGGGCGTCACGGGATCTCCCTCAGACGGGCATCTGCGAGTGGCCTGGGAGACTGGGAGGGGCCGAGAGCGACTGGGGGGAACGGCACTCCTGGCAGGGGGAACAGCCAGTGCAGGGGCCCTGAGGCCGCCGCAGCCGACCCGCCCACCGTGCCCCGGGCAGTGCGGCAGGGGGCACACCTTCACGCAGCGAGCACACTCCGCCCCACACTGGCTGCTCGCCCAGGCCGCGCCATCTTGGCTTTGACCCCTGGTGGGACAGTCCCTGCAGGGTCAGCACCCGGTGGCTGGGTGGACAGAAGGGAGTTGGTCAGTCTCTGCTGTTTGCCCCAACCAGCACCTCTCTCCCATGTGCATCTAAAACGAACTTATTCTGAACCACAGAAATAACACACGGTCATTAAAAAACAAAACAGAAAGTGCTCAGAAGTAGAGGGACGACAAAGTCCACCACCCACGCTGACCTCCCCATCCCAGCCAGTGCTGGTGACGCTCAGGTTTCTCTTTCCAGTTTAAAAAATTTGCCCTGGCTGGCGTAGCTCAGTGGATTGAGCGTGGGCTGAGAACCAAAGCATCGCAGGTTCGATTCCCAGTCAGGGTACATGCCTGGGTTGCAGGCCATAACCCCCAGCAACTGCACATTGATGTTTCTCTCTCTCTATCTCCCTCCCTTCCCTCTCTAAAAATAAATAAATAAAATCTTAAAAAAAAAAAAAAAATCTGAGAACAGTTCTGAAATACACACGACTGCCGCCCGGTGGCCGTTTCAGGGAAGGGATTTTAAGGCTGCATAACTGTGATTTTGCTTCACTCTGCATCACATTTCCAACTTCCTCTGTGGAAAATAGGTATTTTTTAAATACTTAGAATCCCCACCCTGGCCAGTGTGGCTCAACTGGTCGGGCATCATCCTGCATCGCAGGTTCGATTCCCAGTCAGGGTACATGCCTGGGTTGCAGGCCATAACCCCCAGCAACTGCACATTGATGTTTCTCTCTCTCTATCTCCCTCCCTTCCCTCTCTAAAAAATAAATAAATAAAATCTTAATCTGAGAACAGTTCTGAAATACACACGACTGCCGCCCGGTGGCTGTTTCAGGGAAGGGATTTTAAGGCTGCATAACTGTGATTTTGCTTCACTCTGCATCACATTTCCAACTTCCTCTGTGGAAAATAGGTATTTTTTAAATACTTAGAATCCCCACCCTGGCCAGTGTGGCTCAACTGGTCGGGCATCATCCTGCATTGCGGGTTTAATTCCCAGTCAGGGCACGTGCCTGGGTGGCGGGCTCGGACCCCAGTAGGGACACATGCAAGAGGCAACTGATGGACATTTCTCTCACATCAATGTTTCTCTCCCCTTCTCCCTTCCTCCCTTCCCTTCTCTCTAGAATCGATTAAAAGAGAAAAAAAATTCCCAAACCTGGAATGGGTCTCTTCTCACCTTCTTAAATCGCTAAAGGCCTGGTGAGCTGGCGTTCACGCAGGCCACACGGCCCTCTCACCAGGATTCGTCCTGAGCGTCTCACAGTACGTGATGTGTTTCTGAACAGGCTACTTCCCTGTGACCCTCGGCTGCCCCTGCTGCCCGTGGACACCCACCGGGCCTGGCACACTGGGCCCGGCTGCCAGGTACCGGGGACCCTCCTCACCTCCAACAGCCGCTCACCTGAAAGTCCCAGTCAGATCTCGAATTTCTAAGGAGAGCGTAAAGGAGCGCTGTGCAAGAGCACCCCAGGGACACCTGCGGCGATAAAAGGCTGTCCACACAGCACCCCTTGATGCACGAGTGGGAGGGTCCGCTTATGGGGTGCACAGGACCAGGTCTGGGCAAGGCTGTGAGGAAAACCAATGCAGTGTCCACCTGTCCCGATACGGAACGGTGTCCAGGATGGGTCCTTAGGTAAATGAGAAGCAAGGCACAGAAAGGACAGGTGAGCACAGCATCTGCAGGCCCACGTGGCGACCGAGGGATGACTGCGGAAGGACACTGCCGACGCTACGGGGCCGTGCGGAACAATGCGGCAGCCCGAGAATTCACGCCGGTGTTTGCTGAAAGCATGCAAGGCACGAAAGAACTCTTTAAACACTCACCACATTTCAAATATAAAAACAGTATTATAAGATGCGGCTCTGACCTCGGTGTTCACCCCGGGCACCTCTGCCGGCCCCGCCAGGCCTGGGGGGGGCGGTGGTGAGGGTGGTGCCGAGGGCCTGGGTGTGGTTTCTCCCTGCCCACCTGGAGTGGATGCCCAACCACGCCTGTCTACCTCGGGCCCTTCCCACCTCTACCCTGCTCTGCAGTCTCTTCCAGACGTGGGGTGGGGGGAGGGCCGGCGGTGGGCAGCCAGTGGGGCAGGGCCCAGAAGAGCTCGGGCACAGCCTGGGGCTGCAGCTGGAGCTGAGCCAGCAGGGCCCTCACTACAGCAGGCACAGAAACTGCTGGAAACGTTCCCACCAAAAGATTAACAAGGGATCTTTGGAGGAGCGTAACTGAGATCTGAGGTGGCAACAACAACTTCACCTCGTACACCCACTTGTGCGTGGTCGGGCTCCTGCGGTGCTCCCTCGGGGAGACAGCCTGCATGTGGCCCTCGCAGGAGGGGCTTCTGGGAGACAGCAAGGGGCTGGGGGTGGGGGAGGAAGGGAGCACCGGCTCACTCCCCGTGTTCCTGCAGTTCATTCTCTCAGCCGTGTGCGTGCGATCTGATGTAAGCGGACTAGAAGGGCTATCCAGTGAGTGGAATTACGGGCATTTATTTGTGTTAACTTCATACTTTCCTATTTAATTTTAAAAACCAAATAGAGGAAGATGGTTTTACTGGTGATTTCTGCCAAACATTTAAAGGATTAACACCAATCCTTTTCCAACTCTGCCAAAAAAGCCAGAGAGGAGGTAACACCCCCAGACTCATTTCACCAGGCCGGCATGCCCCGACACCAACGCCGCACTGCAAGGCACTGCAAGGAAACCACAGACCAATATCCCCAATAAACGTAAATGTAAAACTCTCAACAGAGTATTGGCGAACTGAATTCGACCGCACATTAGAAGGGTCACTCTCCGTGGTCAAGTGGGGTCCATCCCTGGGATGCAAGGACGGCTCGACACCTGCGAATCAGTGCACGTGCTGCGTGGCGCAGTAACAGAGTGAAGGACAGAAAGCACTCGGTCACCTCAACAGACGCAGAAAAAGCATCTGACAAAACACAACATCCTTTCACGACAGAAGTGCTCAACAAATTGGGTCCAGAAGGAATGTTCCTCAA